CCCCTCCCGCGGGCGCAGGCGCCATCCAGTCGTTCGCCGGCTTCGTCGACTACTTCGTGGCGCTGGCCCAGGAGGGCTGGTGGCCGGCGCTGGTTCTGGGGCTGCGGCCGCGCTGGGAGGACACCCACGAGCAGGAGCTGCAGGACAGCTACGGGCAGCAGTGGGTGCGTGCCCTATACGTGCCCTATACGTGCCCTATACGTGCCCTATACGTGCCCTATACGTGCCCTATACGTGCCCTATACGTGCCCTATACGTGCCCTATACGTGCCCTATACGTGCCCTATGCAACCCCTAAGCGCAGCCTTACGGGCGAAACGCATGCACGCAACAGCAGGGCGTGCACAATGCAACGGCGCGCGTGCAACGTGCAAGCGCCTGCATGCAGAAAATGCAAGCGTGGGCATGCGAAAATGCAATCGCGTGCGTGCAAAGTGCAAGCTGCGCATGCAAAATGCGATTGTGTGTGTGTAACAGGCGGCTGCATGCTTGCAAAGGGCAAGCACGTGCATGCAAAATGCATTGGGTGCATGCAAGTGCAAGCTGCGCATGCAAAAATGCAATTGCGCGTGTGTGAAATGCAAGCACAAGCATGCAGAATGCAGTTGCATACGTGCAACGCGCAAGTGCCTGCATGCAGAAATGCAAGCGCGTGCATGCAAAATGTAAGTGTGCACATGTAAAATGCAACTGTGGGTGTGGAAAATGCAAGCATGTGCATGCAAAATGCAGTTGGGCACATGCAGAGATGCAAGCATGTGTGTGCAAAAGGCAGTGTGTGCATGCAAAAATGCATGCAAAAATGCACGTATGTGCATGCAAAATGAGATTGCACACATGCAAAAATGCAATTGTGTGCATACAAAATGCAATTGCGTGCATGCAAAATGCAATTGTGTGCATGCAAAAAATGCAATTCTGTGCATACAAAAATGCAATTGTGCACATGCAGAATGCAATTGCATGAATGCCACATACAATTACACACATGCAAAAATGCAATTGCATGCATGCAAAGTGCAAGCATATGCATGCAAAATGAAATTGCACGCTTGCAAAAATGCATTTGTGTGCATACAAAATGCAATTGTGCGCATGCAAAATGCAATTACACACATGCAAAAATGCAATTGCGTACATGCAAAATGCAATTGCGTGCATGCAAAATGCAAGCATGTGCATGCAAAATGCAATTGCACGCTTGCAAAAATGCAATTGCGTGCATGCAAAATGGAAGCATGTGCATGCAAAATGAAATTACACGCTTGCAAAAAATGCAATTTCGTGCATGCAAAATGCAATTGCATGCATGGAAAAGAAATTGCACACATTCAAAAATGCAATTGCATGCATGCAAAGTGAAATTACATGCCTGTAAAATGCAATTGCACGCATGCAAAATGCAATTGTGTGCACACAAAATGCAATTGCATGCATACAAAAAATGCAATTGCGCGCATACAAAAATGCAATTGGGTGCATGCAAAAATGCAATTGCACCCATGCAAAAATGCAATTGTGTGCACAAAAAATGCAATTGCATGCATACAAAAAATGCAATTGCGCGCATACAAAAATGCAATTGCGTGCATGCAAAATACAATTGCATGCATACAAAATGGAATTGCACACATGCAAAAATGCAATTGC